TAATTCAATTGTTCAGACCGTGTGGATTCATTCAAGTCCGACTCTCTTGTTCTAATAGAATCTAGATCTAGATTTAGATTTATAAAGATCATTATAGACCTCAATGGAGGATTCATATTCCAATTCTATTGTGTCAAACCCTATCATAGGTTGTGCTGTAATATTAATATTGGTAAAAATAAGCATTTCATCAGGTGCGTGAATTATTTATTTATTTAGATCTAGATCTAGAATCTAGAATCAGCTGAGTCCCTCTGTTCGGAATCGGATGCGGATTTCTAGTTTAAGGCCTATTCCTATTCACTAGTTCTACAAGATCTAGATCTAGATTTATTTAGATTACTAGATCTATATGGAGGATTCATATTCCAATTCTATTGTGTTATTGTATCAAACCCTATACCAATGTAGATGTAAGCCATATATATAGATCTAGATATAAATCTAAATCTATATGCTCCTTGTTTGTTTTGGAGTGTGGTTTTTTAATTAAAATTTTTTTTTTCATTTAGGATTTGTTTTGGCCTTTTTACATGAGGCCCGTTGCAGGTTCTTTTTGGGGGTAGGGTTAGGTCTCTTCTTTATTGTGTTTGTTGGGGTGGTCGCTCGTTACTCGGATGTCCTTCCTTATGACACCCACAAAGGCTTTTTGGGGGGGGGGGGGGTGCGCAAAATTTTCAGACAATCTGGTTGAGGCTCACATGCAGTTTTGTAAGCAGGAACTCGAGCACTATTTCCCGAAATATCGATGCTGCATTTAGTAGTTGACTCGCCCCAAGTTGTGTGTGATCTTTGCCCGCACTCAGAATTCTCCGATGATAGCCTGGTAACTGTTACAATTTGGGACATACAAATAATCAATAATATTCATAGTTCCGCTGTTACTTTCAAAACAAGCCTTGTCCGCGGTCTGGTAACTGCGTGTTCACACCAAACACTCGGACTAGCGACTGTCTTTCTCTAACCCTCACACAACTACATGTGACTGCGCTGACAAGACTAACATACGGTCGTTGTCGTTGCTTTAGTCTGAGCGCATTATGAGGGATAAGAGATTTGTTGGTACAATTGGTCGGTCGGCCGCCGTCGTTATCCTAGAGTACTAGATCTAGAAGTAGAACGACTGTCGCTCATCCGAGTGTTTTGTGTGAACGCGCAGTTAGTCGGAACCGTTAGTAAAGTTGTTTTAATCGCGCATTCGCGTCACGTGACATATCATCGCCGTGTGAGTTCTGCGTGTCGGGGACCGTCCGTTGATGGGGTCAACTTAAGTTCATGTATTTCGGGACTTATTGGTGGGGTGGGTATAGACACTTGGACTAGGAGTGCTTGAAGTGATGCCTCAGGATTTACAAAAAGTAATAACTCGCACACACGCGCACCAGAGAGGGTTTACAGTAATAAAGAGGTGACACTCGTGGCGGCGCTCCATAACAACAGTGCATTGTTTCCCGTATCGTCCGGCGCGGGGCGCGAAAACACTTACGCGCGGTGATCGCTGCCACGGCGATGCTCAGGGTGTCATGTCATGACAAAATGTAGTACCATTTGTAGTTAGTTCACTATGTTACTAGGCCTTTAACAAAGAAGGAGGCCTGTGATTTCTATCGCATATTTTAGGCAACCCCCTGCCTCCCTAGGCCATAAACTGTAAGACTTGTTTTTGGCTTAAGTTAACATATATTCTAATAAACAGACGCAGATACATTTCTTCGTCTCTATAGATCTGAAAAAATAATATCACCGTAATTAAAGGAATAATCTGTTTAATTTTCAGCAAATCTACTCGTTCTCCAGTGTCCCTCTGTCATCTCTCTCCCTCCCTCTCTGTCGGTCTGTCTGTCTGTCTTTATTTTCTCTCCGTCTCTTTCTCTCTCTCCCTGTCTCTCTTTCTCCCTCTGTCTACCTGTCTGTCAGTCCTGTCTGTATGTATCTCTCTCTCTCTCTCTCTCTCTCTCTCTCTCTCTCTCTCCCTCCCTCCCTCCCTCCCTCCCTCCCTCTCTCTCTCTCTCTCTCTCTCTCTCTCTCTCTCTCTCTCTCTCTCTCTCTCTCTCTCTCTCTCTCTCTCTCTATCTCTCTCTCCCCCCCCCCCTCTCTCTCTCTCTGTGTCTGTCTGTCTATCTACCTATCTATTATCTATCTATCTATCCGTCTATATATCTGTCTGTCTGTCTGTCTGTCTGTCTGTCTGTCTGTCTGTCTGTCTGTCTGTCTGTCTGTCTGTCTGTCTGTCTGTCTGTCTGTCTGTCTGTCTGTCTCTCTCTCTCTCTCTCTCTCTCTCTCTCTCTCTCTCTCTCTCTCTCTCTCTCTCTCTCTCTTTCTTTTCCCCTCTCTCCGGACCGGTGTCTGTGATGTAGCCGTTAAGCTCTTCGCTGTCGCAAGCAGGAGACCTGTGTTCAATTCCCTACTAGGGAGAATTTTTGATTGAGTATCCTGGGCTTTCTGCTGAATGTTGTATCCTTCTCAGCCCGGGCGGCGCTGACAGGCAGGATCGGAAGCCCGCCTTCTGAATGGACTAAATTGTGTTTATGGGGGCGTAAAAAACCTACATTAAAGAGGAAAAAACAAAATAATAATTGCAAAAAATTATCTCTATAGACGCCAAGAGGCGGATGCTGAAATTGCTTCGCGTGTCTACAATTGTGCCATTTGGTGATTATCTGGGTTGGATTTTTTTTATGAACACTATAATAATTACTCTCTTTTTCAGGATTACTGCTGCCAACTTGCGTTCACTTTTCATATACGTGTTTCTGCCAGTAGTTTCTGTCAAGAATTTCCAACACCTGTGTCACATCAACGAGGGGCCGCAACGTCTTCTTTTTATAAGTGCCAACGCGGTATCTTTTTCGGGGTTCAAAGAAAACAATGGCAAAATTAAATACATAATTTCAGTTGTATACTCACATTCGTTCGCCCATCATTCTCTCTCTATCTTTCGCTCTCTCTCTCTCTCTCTCTCTCTCTCTCTCTCTCTCTCTCACACACACACACACACACACACACACGCACACACACACACACACACACACACACACACAAAGGCGGCCCCAGCCCCATAGACTTGACGGAAGAACGGTAGGCAAAAAGAGGGGTCCTTAATAAAGCATATTAGTGAAATAAAATCGGAGAGAAGGCCCCCAACTTAGTCGGT